GGGGTGTGAACTTTCCTTTCTAAGCCATGTCCATGGTGATAATGGTCAAACATCATAGAGTGAATGGCAGTTCCTGGTTTGCAGTGTCTGAAACGATGTACAGGTGCGCTTTAAAAATGGTGCTGGTGAAGTCAATGCCACAATGCCCTGTTAGTGATGAGCACTTATGTCATTCCCGCCATGAGATTTCATAAGAAACGAACAAACAGTCCACTTATCTAATTAATGAAGTGAAGCGAGGAAGGTTGCATGAAAAAAATTGCTGTGAACCATGGCGAACTGGGTGCCATAAATCTCACTCAATAAAACAATTTAACTCAAAATGGAAACATTTTGCTCATAGTTTTAGTTTCATTTTTGAGTTATTGGAATGGCATCAGTTAGAAACTTATATATATTTAAATACCTTTTGAGGTCAGTAATTCAGTGGTTTAGAAAATAAGGGCAAGAGAGAGAAAAAACTGGATTGTTGCCTCGCAACAAGGTATTCTACAACGTGGAAAGGCAGATTGGAAAGTTTCCTTTTGACAAAAGAGATTGAACCATCCAGAAGGTTAATGACTGTACAGGTTTCTGTCAGAGAAAAGCAAGCCATTCAGGCAGAAAAGTCTATAACAACAGCAGTACAGTTTAGCAGTCTCCAGACCCATCAGAGCAGAAGAAAGTGAAACACTGAGTGGTTTAGAAGTTAATTAGAGCAAAGCTCCAGAAAGAGAACGTATCTCAGAGAAAGATATCCTGCAACGCTGTTAAATGTATGAGATTAGGAAAGACATGTTAAGAAGTAAATAAGTTTTAGCAGTTTGTTTAGGGGTCTCTTGAAGTGACAAGAACTAAAGAGTGAATGCGGAAATTTATGTAATAAACTTTGCTCTTCCGTTGAAAGTACACAGGCAGCCTCCTGTGAATATGTTTCATGACTGACCACCACAGTACACAAATAGCAAACACAAAACATATGGTCTATCAATCCAGATACCACTCTGGATTCGGACTTGTTCAGTATTGATACCAAGTGGGAACATTGCTCATTCAAGAATCAGTAATAAATCTCATCAATTCTTGTAAACATAGATATCCGTGTTCAGGGCAGGTTCATATCAACTTAAACGTTTTCTAAATAAGGGATTTTTCCTAAATAGCACAATGACCTTGATTTTCCATTTAAGATGCTTACTGCGCATATGTCATGAAGCATGTTTGGTCAGACATCACTATGCTACTGCTCTCAATACAGTACCTGGATTCATGGCTAAGTCAACTTATATAGTTCCACCTCGCTGACATTAGGGGGCCATTTTTGAGTGGGTACACGTTTTATCCACCCAATCCCACATTCAAAATGCTTGCCATAGAAAACAGAATTTTGAGCACAAGCCCAGTGTTCCTGAGCACTGAAATCCCATCTCTATCAGTTTCATTACAGCAAAAAAATTTTGGTGCTTATAGTTTGGCAAGTGATTTGGGTGTCACAACATCCTGGAACTAACTTCCAAGTTTTGAGATTTGATAAGTTATTATTTGTTAGTTATTCATCTGCCTCTTTGCTAATTAAGTGCTCAATTATATTAAATACATTGACTTAAATACATAAAAATAAGTTTTTAATTTAAAAATTACAGGTCAGGAATGTAATCTACCTTTATTACATGCTTCCTCATAGGAAAATGATTTTTATTCACCATGTTTTGGTTTAGCACTCTGTTTTCCAGGAATATATTGGACATGCTAAATAAGCGACAGCTGTGTTTGTTGGACAGAGGATTGGTACTGAGTGGACGCATTACGTGAATTATTCTATAAGCTAGGTTCTCTGTTTTTCCGTTATCTGATTTTTTTTGTGGTTTTACATATCTGTAATCAAAATAAACTACATAACTGGAACATATGCTGGTATTACATAATAACATGGCAACAGAAATCTTTGCCTGCATATTCCATAGGGGCTGATACTCAATCTTTGGGCTGAGACCAGAAGTGACAGAAGTAGGATAGAATGGTTACAGCATAGATGAAGTTCATTTGGCCTGTTGTATCCATACTTGCCGTCTGAAGTAGAAATTCACCTTTCCTCATAGCGCCAGTACGTTCTTCCTTCTGAGATGCTAATCTAATTTCCTCTTGAGTGTCTCAATTGAACCAACCCCCACCATACTCTCAGGTACTACATTCCAGATCCTTACCACTCACTCTTTGAAAATACTTTCCGTATTGTAAGATTGCAGTCAGTTTTGTATCTACCATGTTTCTTCTATTGTTTAGATGGACTGTCAAACTTGAGGTTACAGCATACTTTAGATTTACCATCAATGCTAATTCTACTGTGCCTAAACATATTCTTGACAGTGGAAAATGGATGCTCAGAATTGCTAAGTACTGGCATTGCAATGGATATGAAAAAAAGGTAGAAATTGGCCTGGATGTGTTTTCATGTGCAAAATATACATGTCTTTGGAAGGCACCCAATTAGTGGCTAAAATTCATACAGAAAGTCAGTAGGATGAGAGGAAAGTCCATCTACCAAATAGTAGGAAAGCTACCCAGCAGAACTGGGCAACGTGTGTGAGCTCCAGCAATGCTGCCACCAAGACATAGCTGCAGTGTCGAGAAAGTCTGCTGATGGAACAAGGACAGCTAAGGTAAGCTTGTATTTTCATTATTATTCGTTACTGGGTATCATACTAGAAATTTTCTCCAGTTCTCAAATTGCTTTCCTACCCAGATCATCCTGGCACTCCTCCAATTACTGCCACATGCTTCCCCCAAATCTCTTGTGCACCCACCACAGCACTGTATCCAACCTCTTCAGTATCAAGGCACATGTCAACAAGACAAACAATTCCATGGCACAGCCTCTTTTTCCAACTGAATTGATTGCCCATAAATGTCATATTTACTTGCATTTACTACGGTTACAACCTCACTAGACAGGTTTTCAATATTGTGCATACAATAAACTAAAGAAGGATCAAAAGCATTAATGTTATAAATCAACCGGAAAAAATACATTGTCTTCGATTGCAAGCACAAATTCATTCTCAAAATCTGTTCAATTCAATAATTTCTAACTATTCATGAACAATGGATTGAGCAAAAAATAATGTAGAGTAAATGCAAATTACTGGGTGATTTGATTTGATTTGATTTGTTATTGTCACATGTACCTAGGCACAGTGAAAAGTTCTGTTTTGCATGCAGTACATGAAGATCATACCATACAAAGTGCTTAAGGGTAATACAACATAGAACATAGAACATAGAACATTACAGTGCAGTACAGGCCCTTCGGCCCTCGATGTTGCGCCGACCTGTGAAACCAATCTGAAGCCCATTTAACCTAAACTATTCCATTATCATCCATATGTTTATCCAATGACCATTTAAATGCCCTTAAAGTGGGCGAGTCTACTATTTTTGCAGGCAGGGCATTCCACGCCCTTACTACTCTCTGAGTAAAGAACCTTCCTCTGACATCTGTCCTATATCTATCACCCCTCAATTTAAAGCTATGTCCCCTCATGCTAGCCATCACCATCCGAGGAAAAAGGCTCCCACTGTCCACCCTATCTAATCCTCTGATCATCTTGTATGTCTCTATCAAGTCACCTCTTAACCTTCTTCTCTCTAACGAAAACAGCCTCAATACCCTCAGCCTTTCCTCATAAGACCTTCCCTCCATACCAGGCAACATCCTGGTAAATCTCCTCTGCACCCTTTCCAATGCTTCCACATCCTTCCTATAATGCGGTGACCAGAACTGTACGCAATACTCCAAGTGCGGCCGCACCAGAGTTTTGTACAGCTGCAACATGAGCTCATGGCTCCGAAACTCAATCCCTCTACCAATAAAACATACTGTATGTCTTCTTAACAACACTATCAAACTGGGTGGCAACTTTCAGTGATCTATGCACATGGACACTGAGATCTTTCTGCTCATCCACACTACCAAGAATCTTACCAGTCAGGAATACATCGTTATAGTTGCAGAGAAGATGCACAAAGAGTAAGGTCAACATTAAATTTGAGTGGGAAACCTGGGCCTGTCGGTACGTGCAGAACATCTTGATCTGGACAGGAATTGATGAGTGGACTATTTGCAAATTCTGCTCCATTGGCAAGCATCTCCTCCTGTTGTTTATCATGTACGGCAGTTAGAAAATGCTAGTTCGCAGAGGTACATTGTTGCAAATGGCAGGAATACAGCAGTAGCATGGTCAGAGATTGTCCGATATTCGTGTACTGCAGTCAGCCAAAACACACACAAAGACTCTTAATCAAACTTCAGCTTCATTGTGCGGTCCAGCTGTAGCTCCTCATATTCCTTTTTTTCTTTTAATGTCAGATTTCTTGATGAACAGAAGACAGTGAACAAAATGGATCATATATCCAGTCATGGTCGTCCACATTGTTGAAGGGAAGTAGAATTCAAGCTTCTTTTGCAATGCTTTGAGATATTTGAACATGAGACCGTGCAGCTTGACAGCTGCATCTGCTGCTAATGTTGTTAGTGGAAGCATCTCAAGTGACATTGTCTCTCAAAAGTCTAGATTTGACATGAATCCTTTGTGTTGTTTATCCCTGCATTTTAGTATTCACATTATTCAGATGGCTGACAATGTCTGCAAGATATACAACAGGTGGTCTGCATGTCTAGATTTTGCTTTTACTGACAAATCCTTTGACTAACCTGTCAGGGAGGCTGCTCTGTCAGTGCAAATGCTCCAACACACGTCCCAAGTTGTTTTTCCTTAAGTAGATATCTGTTACCTGAAATATTTTTTCACCAGTTGCATGTCTTGGTAGCTCCTTACAAAAGAAAAAAATTCTCCTGAATGGACATCAATATGCCGAATGTTGGCCAGCAGTTGGCAGTGTCTGATTATACTGGAGGACTCATCAATCTGCAAAGGAAATTTTCCACTAGTGGCTAACGTCTTTTGCAGCACTTCCTCTTTCAGCTGACGTTCAACTTGCCGTTTAACTGTAGTAAGGGAGAGTGGAGGTTCGTTGATCTCTTTTGCAGTGTCAGCCCTGACATCACGCCTACAATGCTGTTACATGCTGGCATGATGAAGGTTTTGGCTGTGGCATGGAGCTCCTTTAATTTTGCTACAAGCTGAGCCACCAGGTAACTAGCTCCTTGAGCTTTATCTATGTTGGGTTCTCTTATGTTTTGTTCTCTTAAGCTCTTGAATTACTGAATGTGTTTGTTCGCAAGAGATGGATGTTTTGTTTGTAAATGGCATCCTAACTTACTTGGTACCATTAGAGTGTTCACCAACTTCTTTCTGCAGATGAGACATTCAAGTAAGGGGCAGGTTTGAGTTTGAGCTTGAGCCTGCTTTATTGTTGTCACAAGTACCGAGATACAGTGAAAAGTATTATTTTGTGACTTATACAGGCAGATTGTACTGTACAAAGAGCATCAGGGTAGCAGAACAGGGGGCAGAATAACGTGTTACAGCCGCAAAGAAGGTGCAGAGAGAGATCAAAATTAACATTTGAGAGGTCCATTGAAAAGTCTGATAACATCAGGGAAGAAGCTGTTCTTGAAACTATCATATATGTATGCAAATGTTTATATCTTCTGCCTAACGGAAGAAGGTGGAAGAGAGTGTAATCAGGGTGAAAGGGGTCTTTGATTATGTAGGTTGCTTTCCCGAGGCAGTGGGAAGTATAGGTGGAGTCAATGAATGGAAGCTGAGCTGTGCAGTTGCTAAACCACACTGTGATGCACCCAAATAGGTACGTCTATAAAGATTGGTAAGAGTCTTTGTGGAGATGCTGAATTTCCTTAGCCTCCTGAGGAAGTAGAGATGTTGTTGTGTTTTCTTGATGGTCACGTTAACGTGGGTGGACCAGGACTGATTGTTGGTGATCACCACTCCCAGGAAATTGATGCTCTTGACCATCTCTACCTTAGCACCATTGATGCAGACAAGGGTGTGTCCTCCACTCCACTTCCTGAAATCAATCACCAGCTCCTTCATTTTGCTGACATGAATGGAGAGATTATTGTCTTTATCTTGTGCCACTCAGCTCTCTATCTCTTTCCTGTATTCTGTCTTACCGATTGCAGTCTATGGGTCAGGAAGCCAAGGATCCAGTTACAGAAGAACGAGCCAAGACTTAGGTCTCGTAGTTTAGAGATGAGGTTGTTTGGAATTACGGTGTTGAAGGCAGAGCTGTAGTCAATAACTGACATTAGTATCCTTGTTATCCGGATGTTCCAGGGATGAGTGTAGGGCCAGGGAGATAGCATCTGCCATGGACCTGTTGTGCCAGCAGGCGAATTGCAAAGGATCAAGACAGGCTGGGAGGCTAGAGTTGATGTGAGTCCTGACTAACCTCTTGAAGCTCTTCACAATTATGGAGGTCAGAGCCACTGGGCGGTAATCATTGAGGTAAGCTGCGTGATTTTACTTTGGCACAGAGATGACAGTGATCTTCTTGAAACAGATGGGGTCTTCAGATTGTAGTAAGGAGAGGTTAAGATGTCTGCGAATTCTCCCACCAACTGATCCGCACAGGATTTGATTATGCACCCTCGGACTCCATCCAGGCCAGTGGCTTTCTGTGCGTCCACTCTCAAGAAGGCCGATCTAACGTCTGTGGCAGTGTCTGTGGGTATAGCTGCATTCGAAGCTGTTGGGATAGATAGCATTGTTTAAGGTGAGCATAGGATGCATTGAGCTGATTGGATAGGGCTGTATTATTTTCTTGATTCTGTTTGACTTTGCTTTGCAGTCCATTACATCGTGTAAGCCTTGTCGCAACTGATGGGTGTCTGTGTGGTTAGTCGGGGTCTCAAGCTTAGTTTAGTATTACCGTTTGGCGTCTCTGATGGCCTTATGAGTGTTGTACCTGGATTTCCTGTATAGGTCAGGATTGCTCGACTTGAACGTCTCAGACCTGGACTTCAGTAGGGAGTCTTCTCCCAATTCATCCATGATATCCAGTAGGGAAACAGATTAACTTCTTTGGCATGCAGTCATCTACACACTTTCTAATAAAGTCTGTAACAGTAGTGCTATACTCGTTTAGGTTCGCCGCTGAGTTCTTGAACATGGACCACTCCACCAATTCTAAGCAGTTGTGTAGAAGCCTTTCCATAGCCTCAGATCAACATTTTCTGTCCATGAAAATCCAAAGCTAGATCACTCCCATTATACTGTTTCTGAGCAGTTTTTGCTTTTATTCTTTGGGTTCAGATATTTCTTCTACTGAACTGCAGAGGAATCACCTCTTTTGACAAGAAATGTACACATTTCTTTTTAGAATCTATTCTAAGACTTAGATCAGTGACTTAACTAAACAAAAAATCCAAAAATATTCACCTTAAAATCCATGCGAATGTGGAGATCTGTCCAGGTAGGCAGGCCACATCAACAGTCGGTCAACAATTGCATACCTCTTTATTGTAAATGTACAGTTTCTTCTCATCCAGGAGATAGAATCATAGAATCACTACAGTGCGGAAAGAGGCCAATCGGCCCATTGAGCCTGCACCAACCTTCCAAACAGCATCCTACCCAGCTCCCCATCTGTCACTGTATTTACCATGGCTAATTCATCTAACCTGCACATTCCTGGGCACTCTGAGCAACTTGACAAGGCTGCTCCATCTAACATGCACACCTTTGAAATGTAGGAGGAAAGGTTTCTTACCTTGCCATGGCCTACGTGTTGAAACCTCTGAACTAATCTGCTCATTATTAATTTCTTACCAGCACACAGTTCTACCACAAATAACATTCCAGAAGCACTAATCAATTTGAGAGTGAGTGAGCTCTACAGGCATGAAACCTCTGTTGATCATTCTTGCAATTTTGATGAGTACATTGACGCTTCTGTTTTCCCTTTGGTATCTAGTATCTCCTCTGACTCGTAAAGAACAATAAAAATCTTGCATTTTTATCCCATGCTTAATACATTAGGATGTCTCAAAATATACAGAACATAATGAGCAAAACTTGAAGGAAGGATGGGGCCAATGAACATTTTTCAGCCCCCTGCACTCTGGTCCTATGTACAGCAGTGCAAGCAATGGGGTTTATCCTGCTGCAAGTAATAATAGATCAACTGGAGGGGTATCTGAAATCATTTGGGGATGACATCAGGAAATAGGAACAGAAGTAGACCATTCATGCCTTCAAGACTACTCCACCATTCAGTGAGATCATGACTGATCTACTTCAACACTATTTGCCTGCACTATGCCTGCATCCCTAATTGCTTTTAACGCATAGAAATCTATCCATCTCCATCTTGAACATACTCAGTTACTGAGCCTCCATAGTCTACTGGGCAGAGGATTCTAAAGATCTTCTGTCTTGAGTGAAAACACCCCCTTATCTCTGTCCAAATTGCCTGCCCCAATCCGGAGCCTGTGACCCTGGTTCTAAACCTCCCACCCTCTCCCCCTGGCCAGGTGGAACATCCTTCCCACATCTCCCCTATGATCCATGTAAGAATTTTAAATTTAAACTCTATACAATATAGACTGAGTCTGTTTAACTTTTATTAATAGGACTTCCTAGGAACTAGTCTGATGAACTATTGTTGCACTCTTTCTATGGCAAGTACATCTTTCCTTCAATAAGAACACCAAACTGCACACAATACTCTAGGTGCGGTTTCTCTAAGGCTCTGTATGATTGCAGTGAGACATCTTCACTCATGTATTGATACCTTCTTGTAATAAAGGCCAACATAGCATTTATTGTCTTAATTGATTGCTGTACATGCATGTTAACTTAAAGTGTTTCATGAACAAAGATACCAAAACCCTTTGAAGTTCAACACTTCACAGATTCTCTTCATTAAAGAAGTACCGTTTCTTTTTCCTACCAAAGTGGATAACCTCACATTTCTCCTCATTGGTTTCCATCTGCTAAATTTTTGCCCATTAACTCAGCTTGTCACCCCTTGAAGCCTCCTTACATCCTTGTCACAACGCCCATTCCCAACTACTTTTGTGTCACCTGCAAACTTAGACATTTTGCCCAGATATTCCGATAGCGAAGGAGTCGTTGACAAAACATAAACTGGAGTCAGGACAATGTGCAATCCCTGACTCAGCTGACTCTGTGGGAATTGTCTGGGAAGTTGAATTTTCCAAAACAAAAACAGAAGTTGCTGGAAAAGCTCAACAGATCTAGCAGCATCTATGAAGAAAAATCAGAATTAATGTTTCGGATCCAGTGACCCTTCCTCAGAACTGATAGTAGCTAGGAAAATGTCGGTTTATACGCAGAAGATAGGGTGGGGGAAGGTTTTAAGGAGTAAATGACAGGTGGGGATAGAGCCCAAAGAGAGAGAAGAACAGTTGGACAGACAAAGGAGTAGATACCCATCTGGCTAGGAGGGTGAATAGCTGTTATCAGAGACTGTTAGTGGCTAACAATAGGTAGTGTGTTATAACAGACTGGTGTGTGGGGTAGGGGTTTGGGACATGGAAGAGTTCAGGCCCTCACATTATTGAACTCAATATTGAATCTGGAGGGCTGCAGGGCCCCCAAGAGGGGAATGAGCTGTTTTTCCAGCTTGTGCTGAGCTTCGCTGGAACACTGCAGCAAGCCTGAGACAGAGATTGTGGCCAGGGAACAGGGTGGTGTGCTAAAGTAGCAGGGTCATTTTTGCGAGCAGAACATAGATGCTCTATGAAGTAGTCACTCAGTCTACAATTCGTTTCCCCAGTGGGGAAGAGGAGAGCACGTTGTGAGCAGCGAATGCAGTAAACTAGATTGTGTGATTGGGCCCTTGGATACTGAGGAGGGAGGAGGTAAATTGGCAGGTGTTACACCTTTGCCAGTTGTAGGGTAAGGTGCCGTGGGGCTGTGGGGGCTGTTGGAAGTAAAGGAAAATTGAACCAGGGTGTCCCAGAGAGAACAGCCCATGCAGAAGATGGATAAGGGAGAGGAGGGGAATATGTGTCTGGTGGTAGTGTCTTGCCGGAGGTGGCGGAAATGGTGGCTGATGATCTTCTGGTGGGATGGTAGGTAAGGACAAGGGGAACATTATTGCTGTTGCAAGAGGGACCAGAGGTGCTAATGGGGGGAAGTGTGGGAGATGGGTCAGACCCAGTTGAGGGCCCTGTTGGCAACGGTGCTGGGGAATTCTCGGTTG